ATTTAATTTGACCTCGTGTGGTATTCGGTAAGAAAATTCCACACCAAATTGTGTTTAAATAATTAAAATTTATTTTTTGATTTAACTTGACCTCGACTTGATTATTTAGTTACCATGGCAACTAAGTCAATCCCAACCTAAAAGTTATTTCAATTTTGAAGCTGTCAAGCGGCACGACGTAAAAAAATGTGAAATTGTCTGCTGTAATGATCAATCATCGTGCAATGACTTATTTACCCGCATTATTAGAGGATTGTGGCTCCTTCTTGAAGAAAGAAAATTTGTTTTGAATTGTTCACGAATATTTGCATCTTAACTATTCAAAACTCAAAGTGCTAAATGGAAAAAAAGGTGAATAGAATAGTGTCTAAATATTATATATATTTCATTCGACATAGACATTTAATTTATTGCAATTCCTGCATTTTCGCCATTAAGAAGAAAGGAGGTGTCCAACGAATATAGAAAACATCTAAACTTTGTAATGGAAATGTATCAAAATTATCATGTAAACAAATAAAAACCAGATTGTCAAAAAAATATTCTGTCATTATAAACGTCAAAAAATTTCCAGTATAATTCGCTGTTGGGTACCCACGAGGAAAAAATTTCCACTAAAATTCAACCGTTGCCATGGTGATCTATCAAAAATACACGTTTTGATTGGTTAAAAATTACAGGTGTGGAATTTTCACTTATAATACCACAAGAGCTTCAAAATTATCGGGTATTTTTCCCGATAGGTTCGTTGCAAACAAATGAAGGAGTCAAGTTTTTCAGGTTAAAAAATCACGAGCGCGAAGCGCGAGTGATTTTTCCAGAAAAACTTGACGACTTTATTTGTTTGCAGGGAACCTTGAGGGAAATGCCAGATAATTTTGAAGCTCGTGTGGTATTCGGGGGATTATTTTTCCGTCCCAAATGTCGGCCAATAGAATTGCACCATGAGACGAAATGTACAGTTAACAAATAAGAATTTCATAATGAATAAAACAACATTTAATTAAAATTTAATTTGTTTTTTATATATAGCAACTACCAGAGAAAATTTTCAAAAAATTATCGCTGTAATTCGCTGTAGGTTCCCTCAACAACAATGCCTCAACAATGTCCCAACAATACAGAGAACTGTCAAAAAAAATAATCATCAAAAAACATTATATTCGTGTTGAGCTGAAAATTTTACTTGAAACAATACCTACCTGATAACCTTTAAAGTGAAATTTATTCTTTCTGACGCGTCCAAAAATATTTCTTGAAATGTTTAACGCATAACTTTGATGATATACCTATGCACGATAAAAGCCCCAATGACATACTTAAGTTAAGCATTGTCTGACACCATGAACCTACCATACAGACGCGTCAGCAAGGAATTTATTTCATTTAGTTAGCACTGCACTGCATTACCCCCTTCAACTCTACTATGGTTAATTTTGTATATACCTACCTCTAGGTATACCTACCTATAATAATATGTTTGTAATTATGTTTTGTATCGTAAGAAGAATGTTTTTTAATTGAATTCTTTTGCGCGTCAGATTCGCCATTACATGTTGTAAAACTACTAAGTTTATGTAATTAATAACTGCATAACTATCATTATGGCTTTTGGTTTGGCAAAACAAACGAGCTAAATAAATAAATTTCATATCTCGGGAAGCTTCTGTTATTGATGAAATAAAAATGTTTCTTGGGTTAAGGGTAACACAAAAGGATTTCAACGGAAAAATACAAAAAAATAGCGCAGGGGCAGACCTTGGGGTAGTTATATATAATATATTCGTTTAGATATGTCAGTAATAATAATTATTGTCAGTGTTCGTTTAATGTTGTGCCTGATTTTAGAATCCTGAATTTTTATTAAAAGAAATTGTCGCCTCCTTCGCCCTTACACCCATGCCACGCCACTGGTCGCACTTTGGTTTATCGGTGGAAAAAATTTGCAAATAGTTTTTTATTGTTGATAATTTTATGATAGTAATTTGGTAAAAAAACACCCTAAACTAATAGATTTTGTTAAGAAAAATTGTGGATTACATCTATTTTAACTTTATAAATACTTAAAGTGGTATGTTTTTAAACAGTAAACGCTTATATTTTAAATATTTTGTAAACGACCTTGCATATGAAAAGGTATGAATATTTATTTGTAGCGCAGCATGGCTAAATCGCGGTAGCTCGTAATTACAAAGGTTTACGAAAAATGTAAACCTGCAAGAAACATATAGTACATTATACGTTATAAGTCTTATTTAACACAGTTAAAATATATATAATATATACACATGTGTGATAAAAAAGTTATACAATTATTTCCGAAAAATTTAAAAACGCGTTAAAAAATGAAAAACTTTTTTTTCAATTAAAATTTAGTTAATTATGCGTAATATTTGTAAAAAGAAATGTTTATTTTAAATAAAAAACGCATATAAAAAATAAAAACTTTAATTTTGTTTAATTAAACGATGTGGCTCCCGTCCCGAGGCGGGACTTAACTTCGATCCCGACAGACGTCACACACTGTAAATCCGTTTTTATTCCCCGAGCTTTTATAATTGGTGTCAAGCTGGATGGCTGAGATGGTAGGGCGGTCGCTTGGCATGCGAGAGGTACCGGGTTCGATTCTACTAACATGTATACAGGTACAATTTATTATTTATATTTTATTATAACATAACAAATCTTAAAATTATGACGTCAATCGGGACTGAACTTAAGTCCTGCCTCGGGACGGGAGCCACAGCGTTAATTAAAATATCTATATTTTTCTATATATCTATATATTTATATAACTATAGTTAATTATAGTTAATAAGTAAAAATATATAAATAAATTTAACCGTCGCACAGAGGCGAAAAATCCAAAATGTATGTTCGAAACTTTTTTTTATTTTAAAATCATGTAATTTACTTTAAAAAATATAAAAGCTAAAAAAATAAAATTTTCAATCGAATTTAATCGTTTTTACACGCTCAGCTCCCTTCTTTTAACTAACTAGTAAACAAATAAAATTGTGAACACTTTTTGTTCTGGTGACAGAACAATCACTTCTTAATGTTCAATGACTATACTAAAAAGCGTAATGCGCTTTGTCGAAATTATCTAAAAGAAACGCAACCAAAAAGCGCCCCATGCTTTTTATCACACATATATGATATGACTATAGTTCTTGAACATGACAAGGTTATTAATAGCACAAAATATTTTAAAAATGTAATTACATTATTTTATAATTATTTTTTTTAGTTGATTTTTTTTGCAAAAAAAATAACTCGAAATATCTTTGACTTTTTCAAATCAGATATGACGTATATAAAGCGGTTAAGACCAAATTAAGAAGAATAAAATAAACACTGGAATGTATTTCCAGAAACAGAAGGTGAAATTTTAATAAAAAGTAAATAATTAAAATTAAGTTATAACATTTAATATAAAAGGAATACAGAGCTTAATCACTCTGTAATCTCTTCTTCAATATTTTCATCTGAACTGACAGATTTTTTATAAATTGTAGGTTCATGCATGCATCTTCATCGTAGCTTTTTAATTTTTTTGTTGTAACTTTCTTAAGCTCGAAATATATGGATCTGAAGATACTAAAAGCACATTAAAGACATCTTCTAAATTTTAAATTCTTGAAAATTTTCTAGCATGACTTTTATGGTACCTCTTTATATCCTTATTTCTAGCTTCTTGAGCTTCTTCCCCCAATTGACCTATTGGAAGTATTGCTTCTGCTAAAATTTTAGAGCTATGCATACAGCTCCACGAACTTTGTAACATCATTTTTAGGTTAGGGTCAACTGACATATATAAAATGTCATTATTATTGGTATTGGAGGACCTCCAATGCAATGGAGGTATATAATAATTTGACTTTTGGACTGAAGTCTTTTAAAAAAACAATATTTTTTAAGTAATACTGCAACCTTCCGCAAGATTTTTTAATTGCGACTCATAAACGACTAATGTAGGCAATAATTTATAAAAATAACTTCACTCGATCGCTTTCGATCAGCAACCAAATCCTTCACTGAATTACGTAATAATATACACAAATAAAGCCTTTAATGAAGTCACTTTATGGATTCAAAGAAATCAAAATTTACTTATTTTTCTTATATAAATTAATATTACTTACCTCCAGGTATGATATTCATGCCTTACACTTCAAAAAAACAAAACTAATAACTGAATAATATTTAAAGTTTGTGATAATAGCAAAAAATATAAACAATACAATGTGAAATTGTTCAATTGAAATTATTGACAGCGTAATGTCATTTGGATTTGACGCATTATAATATTCATTTGACATATCTAGATGCCTTACCTACTAGCTGCAATAAATTTTGGAAGAAAATTATTGATTTGGATATTTTTAGTTTCGACCGCAAAAATTTGCATTTTCGCTTCTGTCGCAAGGTGCGTGCCGATGCACTGTTCGGGTTATTTTCAAATCCACATTTGCACCACCTAAATTTTTTTAGATGCCTATACGCAATAATAATTTTTTTTAGTTTTTAGTCAAAATCTAGTCCTTCGTAAAATGGGCAATAAACAGTTTTAAAAAAATATTTAAAAAAAATTCCCTATAATTGTGTTTTTGTTTAATAAGTTTTTAATAAATATGGTTAGTTAAAGTAAAATAAAATATTTTGGCTGTATAGTAAATATTTTGCTTTAAGAAATGGATTTCAGAGGAATCATTAATGATATTCCCTATAAAAAATCACGTTAAGTTATACAATGTATAATATACATGTTTCCCATTGATCATCACTCGTTACAAAGTATCTTAGTGATGAACATTTGTTTTTTAAACAGCGTAAATTATGATATTTACATAATCCAATATAAGTTCAAAAATAAGATGTTAATTGGAAAATAATCAGTTCTCAATCCCATTGTTAAAATGGTCTCCCGTAATTATTTTGTATGATTTTTTTTTTGTTTTTGTTCCTTTTTTAATTAAGTTATGCACAATTTGTTTCAGGTAACGTTAAACCTTTTCGACTTTGGTTTCATACGGACAGTGCTGAAGCGCCAACTGACAGATCAAACAGAGGATTCTGTTTAAATTACGTTCAACAACCATGTACCACAAATTTATCGAAACGTTAATTAATGCTAAATTAGGTTTATTTATTTTGTTAATATGTGATGTAAAACGAAAAATACGCCCTAACGAGCGATTTTAGGGACAAAATTAATAATTGGACTTTGTATACTACAACTCTAAAATCCGATAGCAAGCCCCTTTGCTTTACACGCAGATTATATTTGAAAAATGTATTTGTTGGCAGGTTTTATGCTACCGGTTTTTTAGTCTTTTTTATCCATTAAAAATTTTCAAGTCGAATATGTCATTTCACATCACATAATAGTTTAAAATTAAATTTAAACTACTTATATAGGTTTACAAAAAAACTGTTAACAAACGATGTTAAATATTTTTTAATTATAAGTAAATAAATAAAAACGTTATATACGTTATATATAATTACCTTGTTTTTTAATTCAACGTGTTTTTAATTTTGTATTAGATTATTGCGTCATGATTTTACACAGTAATCCGTATTCCTGAATAACAGTTCCTATAATACCAATAGGTAGTTAGCACTTGATTTATAATCGTTTACTGTTTTTAAATTAACAACAAAAGTTATCGCTCCTAAATCTATTTATATTAATATTGATTTTATTTGTTAGAATGGTAGAATGTTATTGCATTAAATACTAATTTGATTTATTTAATAACGTTACTATTGTTGTTACTATTTTATGTATACATTTAACGCAATAAAGTCTTTGACATTTAGGCAAAATATTTCCCTATTTTGGTTTAATAGTAATTAATTGAGCAAATAACAATTTAGATTGCTTCAATTTTAATGCATTCAATGAAAGCGCTGTTCTTGGTACTATGTTAGATTTTTTCTGTGTACCAAAGTTTCTATCCCCACAAAGCATGTAAACTATAATAACTATTTCCTCAAATTTAACTTCATTAATATATATATAGTTTTGGTAATTAACAACAACATACAAACTATAAATAAACATAAAATTTATGTTTATTTATATTTATGTCATAAATTATGTATTTCCAGAGAACTCCAAAAGTCCCTAAATTAGAATAATTGATTTGGGATTTTAGTTAAATGAATGTGTTACCTGGTTTAGCGGTATATGCCTACCAATACTGTTTTTAATTAAGACCACACTGTTTTGAAATTCGGCCAGAATTTATTTCTGTATACATTTTTAAAATTGTTTTAATTTATACACTGCAAGCATTTTATGTTTATTCTGAAAAAATGTAAATTTTTTTATCGAAACAATAAATAAATTAGCGACATTTTCTTATGCGACAAAAAATAATATTAAAATTTAAAAATCCTTCGTGAATTCGATTAAAAATTAAAAAAATGCTTTATGCCTTGTTTTATTTCATTTAAGCTTTGGAGATACTGCTTATGGTGATTGTCTTACTAGAAAGAATTCTAATAAAATACAATTAATGCAAAATATATGTGTACGTATAATATCAATTTAAACCTTAAAGACAGGAGTATAAACTTTAAATGTTTAAAGTGTATTTAAAAGCAAAATACGCCAGAAGTTAACAAATTTAACTGCAGTGAGCACAAACCCAATATTAATAAAGTTTAACTAGCTGTTGGGGTCGACTCAGGCCAAAACATGGCCACATATCTAGCGCATCCCAGATGGCGGATAAGAGGAGATCGGAGACTGGAAACTGACCCTGGCTTTTAGAGCCATAAAGGAAGCCAGCTGTGTAAAACCCTTTCGTGCAGAATGAAAGCTCCATCGCGGACCAGCTCATATACCGTAAACTGCTCTTGGTATAATGACCTCTGCAGGAACACTGCAGGGTATCAAGAGGTCTACGGGGGGCTAGAGTTAACTGCCCGGCCAAAGTGATGAGAACACTCTAACTTCTTCAAATTTTACAAGTGCGGGGCGTGCTTATGAGATGAAAGGCTGGGGGGAAGCCCAGATCCTAGCGGCCACAACTGGGAAACCTAGCGCCCCAGCTTTATAAATGCTTTACGTATGAATACCAAAAAAGAAATATCTCCGGCAGCGGATAACATTACCTCAAGGGAACCGAAGGTCTCCAAGAGACCCACTGGGACCCAAAGGCAAAAATCTAGCCGCCAAGCCGCCCGACTACCGAATCCCGATTCTAGGAGAAGAGACCGCAAAGACCACCTTGAAAACAAAAGATGCACACCAAAGGGCCGGGACGCAAAAGCGAAACCGATCGGAAGGAAGCATGCCTCAGCAGGTAGCAAAGAGGCCCAGGAAAACTGAAAGTGCGAAACCAATGGCAAATTACCGTGACATCGCAGTGGGGACAAAGATGGCTATAACAGACATTAGATACCCCATTAACGCCATCTCTGAGGAGCAATCCAAGCTCCTTAAGCAATGGCTAATAGCCAAAATCCTCGAAAAGAGGAAAAAAGCCCTCAGTTTGAGGGAACATCTTACGGGGGAGAAGTGCTATACCTCACATGCGCCAAAGAGTTGGTGTTGGGGTTTCGTTGGTGCATCTCATAGGCGCGCACCACACTTGAAGAATTGGGAGAAGTTAGATTTTTTCGCTGGTGTTGGTGTTTCTTTGGGGTTGGGGGGAAACATTTTCATGGAAAGGAGCTTAACTCCAAGAACTGTAAAGATCCTCGGGTATAGGACAATTAAATGTTATCATCGCAGTAGGTAGAAATATTTCGAAAATTTTCCACAGATGTCATTAATTTATACTTATAATGATCTTATGAAGTAGAAAGATATTTCAAGATTTACATTGGTTTTATTAAATGTACAAACATGTTTGGCAAAATTGAAAAATTAAACTCATTTAAACAATGCACCCCCAATATTGCACACTCCTCAATTCTGGACCTAAAATGCAAATAAGTTAAATTAATTAATTAACAATAAAGTTATTCAAAATTATTGGTTTTAGTGGTTTAAAGTAAGGAATAGTGACGAAAATAATTGTTCGAAAAAGTACGTGGATATAACGCACCTCAAGAAAGTGAATATTCAGATTTGGAATCTAAAGAAGATCTTGAAAGACAGACAAACAACCCTAAACGCAGATTTCTTTTATTTTTTTAAATAATATGTTAATATAATTTTTTTGTAATATATGTGCGTCTAACTCTTTATTCCTGTTGTAAAATTCACTCAAGGGGACATTTTAAAAAAAAACTGAACAATTTTAAAATTTGGAAAATATGATAAATTTCAAAGAACTTGCGCAAAAATAGGGCAAGGTATAATAAAAATAAGGAAAAATGAATCTTATATTTATTTAAATAATCATAAAATATAAATATAAGTGCATAACTGTCTAAATAGATATTACTATAATTACAATACCTTATTGAAAAGTTAAGTAAAATATACCTAAATACATAATTTCATATTTTTAAAGATTATAACCATTTATGTACGTATGTATATTAAAGTATAGAAAAAATATAAAGGATTTTAATTAAATTTACCCTTAAGAGTAGTAAGTACAAATTTATTTATTGAACAGTTTTTAACATATTATTAGTTATTTTTATTGATTTTTGGATGCCACTAAATATTTATATTAAAGTGTTTATTAATTATAAATAATTGTAAGGGTTGTGTGCACAAGGGTGACCTAAAATTTATTGACATTGGTTTTAGAATACTAAGGGCCGTATGCAGAAACGTTGATTTATTTATTACATTACATTATTACATTATAAGAGTGATACATTTTTAAAATGTATTATGAAATATACAGATAAATACATTTATAACTGACTAAACCTTATTGTTGACAAAAACTTGGTTTTGAAAAGGATTGCGGCAATATAGAACACAACAATTGGGTTATGTTACAAGTACCTAAATTTGCATTAAAAGGTATGAAAAACGAAAATTACGGCTTATTTATTATTATTATATATAATTATAATAATTATATTATAATTATATATAATTATAATTATAATAATTATATAATTATATTTTGGTTATAGGAATACTAGACTTATTCTTTTACAGGTACCAATAACACCTTTTTAGGCATTTAGGCAAATGTTTTGAAAAATGTACAGGAAAAAAAGACATTTAAATTTTGTTACAAGAATATAAAAAAATTAAGAAACAATCTCTAGAGGATAACATATGTTAAGTTAATGCTTGATATACATAAATTATGGCTTCAGAATAAACTTTTTTAATCAAAAGGAGTGAGCTATACTCAAAAATTGCATGTCCAGAAAAATTGTGCTGGAAAATTGGTGGAAGGTGTAGTCTTCTTAATTTATTTTTTCATATATATATATATATATTTATATATATATATATATATATATATATATATATATATATATATATATATATATATATATATATATATATATATATATATATATATATATATATATATTTACAAACGAAAATACAGTCTATTTTTATTCATATTTTAAATCAGTCGTCAATGTATAGAAATCCACTTTATTATGGAAAATATAAACGTTGAAAGATAATTATCCAATTTATTTTATAAAACAGTTTTAAAACGTGAAAAACCTTTATACACTGATTTGCTAAATCAGTTGATATAAATAAATCAAGTTTCTGCATACGGTCCTAAGTTATTTAAAATTTCAGACATATAGAGTATGTCTAAAAATGTATTCAATGATTAACTGGCATTGTATTGCATTATTACGCCATTAAAGTGCACTACTATATGGATAGATGAATCAATTTAAAACTATGAAAATAATTAACTAAACTATTTAACCCTCTACTGATACTCTCACAAATTCTGAAGATAATTAGTTAATTGATTAGTAATGACTAAGACTTACTTAAATATTTTTTTACATAATTATGAATAAAGATTATTAATAATTACTTACCTTATAATACTATTATAGTTTTGTGACAAAGTTAATACTATTACGATAACATACAGTTTATTATTTAAATTTAAAACAGTATTTTTAAGTTAGTATAAATTTCCCAAATGAGTCTACGATTTTTGAATTTAAAAGTAAAAAAAAAAAGTATTTTTATTCATATCAAGTCAAGTTCTA